ATTTGGATATACATCTATGAAAATGATTGCATAAATTCTTTGGAAAAACCCAATGAAACTCAGCTTTAGAAAAATATTTATTTAGTGAAGGGAATATCATATGTGACATTTACAAAAGGTCTTAAACTTAATGCACAAGAAGCATGGGTCTTGTCCACACCTGTCGGCTGTGGGCGCGCAGGTGTGGAAGCGGTAGCTGTCGTTCCCACACCTCCACTTTCCTCCAGACTGTCTGTTCTCTCTGTGTCTGTTGCTTTAAAGGTCTTTGAATGTTTGTTTAATGCCCTTCTACAATGCCTAAATATCTAGAAAATACCCAAGAAAATACCTGAAGAATCGACGGAGGAACGAAAAAAAAAGAAGAAAAAAGGCAATGGTAGATTATGGAAAAGAAAAAAAAAAAAAAAAAAAAAACGCAATGGTAGATTATGGAAAAAAAAGAAAGAAAAAAGTCGAGATATTCTTCACCAGACAGCCGTTTCGAGGACAAGCCTAGAAGTGTGGGAGCGGTTACCATCGTTCGGGGTCTGGCCACGTGTCTTCCCCTCGTCCTTGGCTCCTCCTCCCCTCCTTCTCGCAAGCACAGGAGGCAGGAAGCACAAGCGATCACCGAACCGAACGCAGTCTTGCCTATAACGCTTCTTCTCGTATGTCTTAAGACGGCGGCGGAGGCACCTTCCTCGGGCCAATCTCTTCACATACGCGAGCGAGACAAGACGAATTTGCAGAGAAAAAAAAATATATATATCGAGTTGTTTAGACAGAGACTATGGGGTTGGGGGGAGTGTTCCTTTTTGGATTTGGTTTTGTTTAATGTTTTTATATTTTCTCTCTTCCGTGCTAATAACACCAGTCGAGAAATACCTTTCGTTCTCTTTCTTTTTGAGACAAATCTATCTCGCAGAGTGTCGCTTCGGGATCTCGGACACTCGCCTTTTCTCTGCAGGATTATCACCAACTTTCGCCGAAGGATTACGTCGCGGATTTCGTTTTTTATTTGATTAATTTCATTCCGCTGCCGTTGGGATTAAATCTACCACGCTATATAAATCAGACATTCGATTTTTTTCAAAGGAAGAACAACAAAAAACGTGAGATGGACAGTATTCGTCTTTCTGACCTCCGGGTTAGGTAATCAAGGTAAACAAATAATCTGTCTTATACAAATCTCCCTTGATTGAAGTCTACTTATCTCTTAATGAGTTTCTTTATGAATTAATCCCAACGCATCTTATTTGCTTATGCGATCCGAACACGCCATTGCAGATAAATGAAAAAGACTAATCGCTAATGACACCGAGTAAATGATCTGCCAAATCAAAGACAGATAAATTGATATTAAAATGTTTCCCTTTTTCAAACTGAAAACATATGATAAGAATTTGTGTCAGGTAGGTATTCATACCACGTCGTGCATGAACATATGTTTAGTATAAAAGAAACAGCGACCAGAATAAAACATTATCATCATGCCATTTCTTTTGCATGATGTAAAAACACTGTAAAAAGTATTGACACACGAAAGAGCGTGTCCACGAAAATGCGTCTATTTCTAAACAACTCAATAACTCCATTGAAAAGAACATGTGGTTTTAACCTTAACTATTACCTGAACATGGAAAATAAAAAACTGTGTACTTCGAGTTCCAAAAAAGCAGAAAAAAGCTGAAAATGATTATTGATAACCCGCGAAGGGACCAAAAGACCTGAATGAACGTCGTAAAGATAAGAAAATAAAAGTCGTTTACATTTAAGGTCAAAAAAAGGGAAAAAACTACATTTCCTGTTGGAAGCGTGGCCGTCTTGAAGGACCAAACGTTTCCTTGAATGTCAAAAAACGTACCTAGACGTCAGGTAAAAACTGTAATAAAGATGCCGTTTCACAAAGAGGCGAACAGTATGTACTTCTAAAACGAAAGGATAGTTGCGAATAACGAAGGTAATCTGCTCTTCACCTTCTCCTTCTTCATGTTTCGTTAACTGTAGGGGACGCGATCTCTCTTTCTCTCTCTGTCTTCTCTCTTTCTCTCTCTCTCTCTCTCTCTCTCTCTCTCTCTCTCTCTCTCTCTCTTTCTCTCTCTCTCTCTCTCTCTTCCCTCCCTCCTCCCTTCCTACATCCATTCCTCCCTCTCTCTCTCTCTCTCTGTCCTCTCTCCCTCTCTCTCCCTCCCCTTCCCTCACCCCTCTCTCTCTCTCCCCTTCCCTCATCCCTCCCCCTCTCTCTCACACTCCCTCACCTCCCCCCCCTCTCTCTCTCTCTCTCTCTTCTTATCTCTCTCGCCACCTCGCATGACAGACGCAAAGGCAGAGACAGTCGCCCTTCACCGTTGTATGTCTGGCCGCCCTAACGTTTCCTATTAGTCAAGGCGCCCCATGTATATGCAACCATCGCCTTCGCTATTGCACCTGATCCTGCAATCAAGGAGGCATTATGGTTGAATTAAATTGATTAGAGAGAGACTAAGGTAGGCCGCGTGGGGAGGTGGGGGAGGTGGGGAGGGGGAGGTGGGGAGGTGGGGAAGGTGGGGAGAGAGGGAGGGGGGAAGTGGGGGAGAGGGGGAGGTGGGGGAGGGAGGTAGGTGGGGAGAGGGGGAAGTGGGAGAGGGGGAAACGGGGAAGTGGGAGAGTGGGAGAGGGGAAGGGGGCAGGAATTAGATCGAGGGAAAAGGGGAAATAGGGGATGTGAAAGGAGATTGAGGGAGGGGAGGGATTAGGGGAAGGAGATGAGGATAAGGTAGGGGGATAGATAAGGGGTAGGAAAATGGTATAAGGAATAGGGGATAGAGGGTGAAAAGAGGAGAAGGGGGGGCGTAGTCTAAGGAACAGGGGATAGAAGGACGGGGGTGAAAAGAGGAGAAAGGGGGGGGGGAGGCGGATCAGAAAGCAGGAGAAGGTGAAAGAGAAGATTACTGTGGATTTCCGGTCGTATTCTCCTCCTCTCTGGCGGCGCTGGAGCGAGATGAATCCGATTCAAATCCCTTGATTCAAGTGTTTGTTAATCTCTCGTCTCCTTTGCTCATTTCGACACGCGGAGCTTCGGTGGAAATGGAGATCAAATTAAAGAAAGAAAGAAGCTTTTTCTTCGATAACAGAAGTTTTTTTTTCTCTTTCTTTTAAATCAATCAATGCGTTTATTTATATTATCTCATCTCCCTTGCTCATTTCGCCACGCAGGGAACTTCAATGAATATGGAGATAAAAGAGAAGAAGAAGAAGAAGAAAAAAAAAAAAACAGTAAAATATAAAAGTTATGATAATAATAATAAAAAGATAATAATATCTATGATGATAATAATATCGATAACAGTCATTTTTCTCCATTATATTAGCATGTTTTTTTTTTTCTTTTCTTATAGATATCTTCGTTCATGAGATGGAATCCGCCAATCCTTTCATTATTTGCAACTATCGCGTTTTTTATTTAGACTGCGAGGAAAACCGATCTATTGGAATCATGTTGTGACAAAAATAGATTAAAAAAAAATGGTAGAAACAAAGAAACAACAACAACAACAAAAAAATGGATGTCGGTGGATTAAACCGTCGCTTCAAAACGTTCATGTAAAAAAAAAAAAAAAAAAAAAAAAAAAAAAAAATTGAGTTGATCTGAAGGAGACTTCCTGTGCCTTAAGATGACTTTCTTGATTTCTTGACCAGGGAGTGAGAACAGCAGCAAGAAAAAACTCTAAGAAACCTTAAAATTATCCCAAAAAAATTCTCTATCATTAAATTTTTATCTTATTTTAAACGCAAGAACTTCAATTCCCCGAAGTCGATATAAACTCGGGGATTTAGAATTAAAAAAAAAAGAAAGAAAAAAAAGTTGACCAACCAACGAGCATGCAAGAATGAATCCGTTTAAGACATCCCTTCAAACTTGTGATATTTTTTTTCCTATGCCCTCGTTAAAAGGGGAGGGGGGGAGGGGGGGGACACAGCTCCCATCGCCCGGCGGGAAAAGGGGGGAAGGGGAGGGAAGGGGGAAGGGGAGGGGAAGAGGGGGAAGAGGGGGGGGAGAAGAAGAAAAAGGGGAAAAGACAAAGATGAAATGGGAGGAAGGGGAGATAGGCTGATTGGAGGACGGGGGGTGGGGGGTGGGGGTGGGGTGGAAGGGAGTGTAATGATGTTTAAAAAAATGCATCAGTTTCAAATTTCGTTATTATTATTTTTTTAAAGAGAGCTTTCGTTATGTATGTATATAAAACTTGTCATAAGATATTGAGGGGGAAATAGCATAAAGTGGTCGGTTGTTACAATGGTGTACTGCAGATATTTACGTTGGCGTCGAATCATTTGTAAATTCCTTGTGGTTGAGAAATGCGTTCCCATTCAGGTATTTCTGTAATTACTATTATCTTTTTTATCTATGAAATCAATCTATTATCATTGTCTTCTCCCTGTATCATAGGATAAGTGTTTTTTTTTCTTTGTCTATGTCAACAATATTAAAAGTAAGAATAAAAGGTTTCTATCCGTTTGATAGGCGTCAGAGAGTGTGTCACCGAGGATTCACACCACCAGGAAAATCTGAATACGCTTTAGTCACGTAGGATCCGCCTCATCCCCGTGGCTAACCGATCCCATTCTAATATCTATACAATATTTACATCATAAAAATATACCTACTTCTGCTTCGGCGTATTTCCTTTGTTATTCATTATTTTTTTTTCTGTAATTCTGGTAGTTTGAAAGCGTAGAAATATACACGAGTTCACCCTTTTGCAACGACAGCAAACAGTGAACAAGAAAACGGGCTGTGAAGAACATTGTACATAACCGTGATGACAAATGTGAACCGTGAAAAAGATTCACATTTCTTGGTAACCATCCAACAAAAGCGATAATATTATCATTCAGTAGCATGCATTTTTGAAATACGAATGCATACATGTGCATATATATATATATATATATATATATATATATATATATATATATATATATATATATATATATATATATATATATATATATATATATATATATATGCATATGCACAAGTATACATAAATGTAATTATTTACAGATTCATATACATATAGAAATATATATATTTTATAAAATTCCACTGAAATGCCATTACATTAGTGTCTTACAATGTAAAAGTCCCTATCATCTTAATAAAAACAAACCAACATTTGTTGCGATTTTAAGATGAAACAAAAACTCCGCAGTTTTCGACATCTGGACGCCCCCGATATTCACTCGCTGGCAACCTGTTTCAAGGTCGTGTTGCAGGCTAGGAATTTCCTTTGCTATTTTTGGGACGACTTTCATCCACGCACTTCGAAAGAAAGAACAATGCTGGAGTCCAAAAACAAAGAAAAAAGGTATCGTTTAAGAGAAGCATCCTCTTCCGATTTCTAAAGTACTGTATTTTTTCTTCGCAAAAAAGCTACTATACTTTC